TACCAATAATAAGCTAACGACTAATTTTCTTTTTGTAATGGACAATGATTTCCCCACTCCTATTTTATCCACTTACACTCTTTTTTTATAAAATTGTACGGTTGTACCAATAATAAGCTAACGACTAATTTTCTTTTTGTAATGGACAATGATTTCCCCACTCCTATTTTATCCACTTACACTCTTTTTTTATAAAATTGTACGGTTGTACCAATAATAAGCTAACGACTAATTTTCTTTTTGTAATGGACAATGATTTCCCCACTCCTATTTTATCCACTTACACTCTTTTTTTATAAAATTGTACGGTTGTACCAATAATAAGCTAACGACTAATTTTCTTTTTGTAATGGACAATGATTTCCCCACTCCTATTTTATCCACTTACACTCTTTTTTTATAAAATTGTACGGTTGTACCAATAATAAGCTAACGACTAATTTTCTTTTTGTAATGGACAATGATTTCCCCACTCCTATTTTATCCACTTACACTCTTTTTTTATAAAATTGTACGGTTGTACCAATAATAAGCTAACGACTAATTTTCTTTTTGTAATGGACAATGATTTCCCCACTCGATTTTAGATGGTATAAAGATGTTTTTATTTCCCGAGTCATGTTAAGAGAAGATAGTAACCAAGCGTTTTGGAAAGAAAAGTTTATAAACGGACTACCTAATTTATTTGCCCATAAAATACGCACTGTTTTAAGTAATGAACTAGGTCATATAGATTATGATAATTTGACCTATGGAAACATAATCAGTACAATTAATCAAGAAGGAATGAAAATGTGCATTGATATGAAAATTAATCGACAAATACAATCTGAGAAAAGATCTGCCAAATATGAGTTAGGAAATTTTTGTGAACAATATGGTCTGTCGGTTCCTCCTTCTAGACAAAATAAAAATAAATATACCTCTCCTAAGCATATTAGAAAAAACCGTCATTATAAACGTAAGAAATACCCATATCAGCAAAATAATGAGTTTTATAAGAAAAGAAAATTTCATCCTAAGAAAACCTGGTCCAAAAAACCAAAAGATAAGAAAATAACAGACAAAGGCAAAGTTAAATGTTATAAATGTCAAAAGTTTGGCCATTATGCTAATAAGTGTAAAGTAAAAGATACTATTAAACAATTACAGATCACTGATGCAGATAAAGATAAATTAATTAAAGTTCTTGAGTTAAGAGATTCTGAGTCAGGAGATCTAACCATGGTAAGTGATTTTGAGTCATCCAACTATGAGTCTTCTGATTCCTACCTGAGTTCACCTAATATTCAAATAGGTTGTAAAGATAAATGTTGTAATACTCTTAAGTCTGTTTCTGTTTTAACTAAGCAAGAAGAGCAAGAAGAATTGCTAATTGATCTGATTAGTAAAATAGAACACCCTGAGTTGAAATCTGATTATTTAAAGAAATTAAGAAAAATTATAGGCCATATGAATACTGCCCAACCTTCTTCTGTTATAAGTTTAAATTCTACATTAGAAAGGTTTAGTAAGAAAAAAGACATTACTTTGCATGATCTACACTCTGAGGTAAAGGCCGTAAAAAAGGAAATAATTGAATTACGACAATTAAGTCATAAACTACAAGCTGAAAATTATGATATCCGACAAGGTTTGAATTCTCTATTAGAAAAAGATTTGGTTAAGTCTGATAGTCAGCCAAGTAGCCCTACCCATTCTGAAGAAAATGAGAAAACTGATCACATTATTAGTTTAATTAATCATATTCCTTTTAGAAAATGGTATTCTAAAATTACTATAATTATTAAAGATTTTGAGCTTGATACTATTGCCTTATTTGATTCTGGTGCTGATTTGAACTGCATAAAAGAAGGATTAGTTCCCACTAAATATTATACAAAATCAACTGAATCTTTAAGTACTGCTTCTGGTAAAATGCTACACTTGAATTATGAGAT